AAACAGTATTTGTTAGGGAAAGAAAGAATTTGCAGTGTATTTAAAAAGAGTAAAGGTTGATGTAATCACACTCCTTAGAGAGGAAGAATCTTTGAAAACTCTGCCGCAAACTCTGCAGGCTTTGACTCCTGCCATTTACATCTCAGTCAAATGTCACGTTATTAAAGGCTTTTACCCTAAGTAGCCTCCTCAGTTTCTAGCAAATCACTCTGTTTATACCCTTTAGAGCATGAAATAGTCTGAAGTTCTTATTGTTCATGCATTTTTGGTCCCTCTTGCCCCATTAGTATGTAAGCTCTTCAAGAGCAGGGACCATGAGCTCTGCTTTATGTCTAGAACATACTAACAGTATCTAGGACTTTGTATATATTTAAATATTTGTTGAACCTACATCTGCGAAGAATCTACAAGAAAAATTATCTTTTAAATTAGAGCAAGACAGATACCAATAAAACAGAGGAGGAATTACTTGATAGTCAAAGTAAATCCCACACTGCTGAGCAATGCAGTAGGGATTAAGAACAGTTATTCATCTGTCTTAGGTGTCTAACAAATTCACCTGCCTCAGGTTAAGTAATTTCTAGTGGTTACTCCCAACTCCATGATTCAATACTTTACAGCACAAAAATAAATAATCATTGAGTTCTAACTATGTACTGGACAGTGTTCTAAGACTTTACACACATCAAATCATTTAGTCCTCACAATTCTATAAGAATAATTCTCATCTTCATAAAATAGGATGCTTCAGCCTACAATAGGTTAATTTGCCCATGTGCACTTGAAAAGAATGTATGTTCTGCTGCTCTGGGGTGAAATGCTCAAAAATATCAATTGAAACTACAATAAAAACAACCCAAAATACTCAAACACTTGGAAGCTGAATAGCATGTTATTAAAACTTGATAGTCAAAGTAAATCCCACACTGCTGAGCAATGCAGTAGGGATTAAGAACAGTTATTCATCTGTCTTAGGTGTCTAACAAATTCACCTGCCTCAGGTTAAGTAATTTCTAGTGGTTACTCCCAACTCCATGATTCAATACTTTACAGCACAAAAATAAATAATCATTGAGTTCTAACTATGTACTGGACAGTGTTCTAAGACTTTACACACATCAAATCATTTAGTCCTCACAATTCTATAAGAATAATTCTCATCTTCATAAAATAGGATGCTTCGGCCTACAATAGGTTAATTTGCCCATGTGCACTTGAAAAGAATGTATGTTCTGCTGCTCTGGGGTGAAATGCTCAAAAATATCAATTGAATCCATCTAGTCTAATGTGTCATATTTAAGGCCAGTTTCCTTATTAATTTTCAGTCTGGAAGATCTATCTATTGATGTCAATGATGTATTAAAGTCCCCTACCATGACTACATTACTGTCAATCTTTCCCTCTATGTCCATCAATATTTCCTTTATATAGAGATGTTTCTATATTGACTGCATAATGGTTTTTAAGAGTTATATACTCTTATTGGATTGATCCCTTTATCATTATGTAATGGCCCCCTTTGTCTCTCTTACAATTTTTGTTTTGAAGTCTATTTTATGTGATATAAATATTGCTACCCCAGCCCTTTTTTCATTCCCACTTGCACGAAATATCTTTTTCCATCCCTTTACTTTCAGTCTATGTGTATCTTGCGATCTGTAGTGGGTCTCTTGTAGGCAGCATATGTATGGATCTTATTTTCTTATCTATTCAGCCACCCTATGGTTTTTTTAAAGTTTTATTTATTTGTTATTGTTATGGGCGTTTTTACTGAAATGGTGGCTTTCCTATGATTTCTGACCACCCTATGTCTTTTGATTGGAGCATTTAATTCATTTACATTTAAAATGATTATTGATAGGTATGTAGTCATTGTTATTATTTATATTTATGTTCCTTTCCCCCTCCCCCCATTTTTTTAAAGAAGTCCTTTGAACAGTTCTTGTAATATTAATTTGGTTGTGATGAACTCCTCTAGATGTTACCTGTCTGGGAAACTCTTTACCTCTACTTCAATTTTTTTTTATAATGCAAAAACAGATTTGTTTGTACACACACCAATGAAGGGTAGCCGTTTTCTGTCAAACGGAGAAGGTTAAGATTCTTAAGGAGCAGATTTTGGCACCTACTACAATGGGAAGACTTGCTTTGTTGCCTTCAGATGTTAGGTCTGTTTACCTAATACTTCAGCAGGCTTTTTAAATGAGTCTTCCTCCTCCTGGGCCTGCTTTTCTAATTCCTTATGATATACACACTGGCATTCCAGTTATTTGTGTTGTTCCTCTGTTTATCCAGGTATGTTTCCAAGAAACTTAAGACAATAGATTCATTGTTGGCAGAAGCTATGGTCTTCAGGTCTAGCAGGAGCTTGGTTAACTGGTTCTCCAACTCCAGAGCAGACTTTAGAGCTTGAATGCCGGTTTCCCAGTTATCTATCTCAGGACTCTTAATCACCGGAAGGCAGATTTTACTCTCACATCCTCTTAGATATCTTAGGAATCGCTTTCTATGTTCCCTCTTCACCTCAGCTTGGTTTTCAAGGAATGCGGCAAAATGAGGTTCTCCTGGGCCTTCAATGTAGTAACAGCCCACAGATAAATAAGCATCACTGATGTGCAGCTCATAGATGTCACATGATCAATAGCAACCCTCCACTCTTCAGAGAGGGGGGTGCTTGGCTGCCATCTAGCTTTAGAGAACACCAGGTATAAACAGTGCTCTACTTCAATTTTAACATCACTTTTTTTTTTTTTTTTCATTTTGAATGATCCTTGTGAGTGATCTATACACCAGAACCCTGGGGAGAATTAGGGCAGAAGATCTCTCCTTCAATTTTAATTCATACCCTTGTTGGGTACAGTAGTCTTGGTTCTAGGTCTTTGTCACTCTTTATCACTTTAAATATTTTGTGTCAAGCCCTCTGGTCTAAAAAGTTTCTGTTAGAAATCAGCTGACAATCTTATGGGAGCTCCCTTGTAGTTAACTGTTTTTCTCTTGCTCCTTTTAAGATTCTCTCTGTCTTTAACCTTTGCCGTTTTAATTATGATGTGTCTTTGTGTGTGCCTCTTTCGGTTCATCTTGATTGGGACTCTCTGTGTTTCCAGGACAAGTACGTTTACTTCCTTCCCCAGGTTACGGAAATTTTCAGTCCTTAGTTTTTCAAATAGGTAGATTCTCAATCATTTGCTCTCTCTCTTCTCCTCTGGTACCTCTTGATGCAAATATTTGTGTGCTGATGTTATCCCAGAGGTCCCTTAACTATCCACATTTTTTAAAGTTATTTTTCCTTTTCCTGGTCTGAATGGGTTTTTTTCTGCTACTTTATCTTCCAAATCGCTGATTCGATCTTTTGCTTCTCCTAATCTATTGTGTACTCCCTCTAATGTATTCTTCTTCATTTCAGTTATTGTATTCTTCATTTATGGGATGAAATGTTCAAAAATATCCATTTTATGGTTTCTATGTCTTTTTTATGCTTACTATCTCTTTGTTGACATTCTCACTAAGTTCCCTGAACATCCTTATAACCAGTGTTTTTAACTTTGTATCTGGTAGACTGTTTTTCTCCATTTCATTTAGTTCTTTCTTGGGAGATTTCTGTTCTTTCATTTGGGAAATGCTTCTTTGCTTCACCATTTTGGCTGCCTCTCTTTGTTTGTTTCTATGTATTAGATAGATCTTTTGCACCTCCCAGTCTTGGCAGGGTGGTCTTATGTAGTAGGTGTCCTGTGGGGTCCAGTGGAGTAGTCTCCCAGATTACCTGAGCCGTGTGCTCCAGGAGTGTCCCTTGTGTGGGTTGTGCGTACACTCATGTTGTAGTTGAGACTTCATTGCTGTTGGGACGTCAGTGAGTGAAATTAACTCTCAGGTTGTGTCTGTAAGTACTGGACACAACCACAGCTTACACGCTGCTCTGTGGGGGCTGACCCCATACAGTGGGATTCACCCCAGTGGGTTTGGATGCCTGGCAATATTACCCTTTGGGTGTGCCTCTTCTGAAACTAATTGGGTGGTGCCCTGTTGTGGTCTGATGCCGGTCACTAGGTATGTTGGTTCTATAGCCTCCGGGGGACTCTGGTACAGGTCAATGTCAGGCACTGACTGTGACCAGCCCAGAACTACCTATTAGGAGCTACAAAGCAATCTGCAGTTGGAAGCTACCTGTGCCAGTTCCAGATGCATGTGTGAGAGAGGCCACTCTGTGATTCAAGTCCAGTAGCCACATGTACTGGGCTTGGGGCAGTAAATAAAAGGCCCAAGGCATCTTGAGACATGCTGCTGGCTTCCTATTAAAGCTCAGCCACTGAAAAAAACCTGTCAGTAGAAGAGCTGGCTAAGGCAGAGCCTCAGGGAGTCACCAGGGTGAGTGAATAGTGTTTACCAGGTTGATACAGATTCATATTTGGCACCAGTGCTGAGCCTCGGGCCACCCAATGAAAGCCTCAGGGTACACTGAGGCCAGGGCCTCAGGGAGTCTCAGGATGGAGCTAGTAGAATTCACCAGGCGAATGCATAATCCAGTTTGGCCACGTGGAAAATGGCTCAATACAGGGACAATGGTAGCCTTCCCTCCAGCCCTTGCCCTGAAGTGACATAACTCAGTTGCTCCCTATATGTCTCTGGCATGCATCCCCCACACCAGCTTGACCAGAATTCCCAGGCTGGTTGCCAAGGAAAGAGCCTGGGGCCATGCATGAGTTAGGTGGGACGGGGTCTTGGTTAGTCCTCAATAGAGCTAGTGAAGTTCACCAGACTGTTATAATAATGTTATAGTCATAAGGAAACCCCTCTAATGTGTGGAAATGATTGTGTGAAATGTTTGCTGTGTGGAGACCCCAATACTCTGTAACTTCCAAAATGTGGTGAACGCCCTACTATCTTGATGTGAATGCCCTAAGCCCTTAAAATGTAAACACCCTGCTCCTAGCATAAGGCACACCGTCTGGCCCACACTGATAAGACACAAATTGTTTACACCGGCTATATAAGCACCAGATTTTCTTCAGTCCATGTCTCCTGCCTGATGAGAGGAGGACTCCACGTTGCTCCGTGAGACAAGCCCCTGACTGACTGCTCTGCTGTGCGAGCCTGAACCAACTGTGGCCGCCTGTCTGTCTCCGTCTTCATCATCCGTCTTTCGGTGTGCATCGCCGGGTGGCCTTTGCTGGAGCCTAGGACCCACTAGGAATAGGTAAATAAACCTTGTGTGATTGCATACTAATTCTGTCTTGTATGTTCATATGTTCCGGTTTGGCTCAACTGTCTAGACATTGAAGTACCAGGGGATAGGCCGTTATTGGTGACCCCTGGCCACCTTCTTATGTCCCACTAAATCTAAGCAGATAATTAATTAATTGGGGCATAATTGGGACACCAGACTAAAGCAGGTTCAGATTTGTCTGGGGGGAGGGGAAGAGGAGTGATCAACACAGGAGAGATGATGCCTGAATGGCAGCCATCTCTCCAGCACTCACCCTGAAAACACACAGCTCAGTTTCTCCTTGTATGTCTCTGGTGCCCCCTGGGTCACTGTCCCAACACCAGAGTCCAATGTGAGTGCCTATGACCAGAGTTTGTGTGCGGGCCCTTTAAGAGGACGCCTGGGTTTCCAGCAACTTTCTGTCTCACCAGGACAGACAGAAATCCCTGCTGATTTTCACAACCAGATGTTATGTGGGCTACTCTAGAAGAAATTAAATTTAAATTAGAAAAATGTTTTATAAATTTCAAGAAAACTAGGGACTTTGTGTCTATCACACTGATAAATATTATTTCTGAGTGTCATGAGAGATCAACAAACACAACAGTAGACACAATTAAATACCAACATCTACCTGTTTATCTTCCAGCAGGTCAGGCTCCCCTTTGCTAGAACCAGAGCTGACATCGTCTTCATCAGAACTGTTGATGATTTCCTCTTCATCTGAAGGAAGGTCACCAAGACCAAGGTCCACATCACTGTGTACCTCCTGGGATGCTCCACAACTGTTTCAATAGAAAGTGTCACATTAGTCACCTTCAAAAACAAGGACTACTGCCAAAACCAAACAAAATCAACCATCTTATTCATGTGATATAAACAAGGTACATCTAAGGAGTTTAGAGAGATGGAAATAGCCAGATCAATCAAAGTTCCCCTTCCCTTTCCCCATCCCAGCCATCAAAAACACATATTAAAAGAAAACACATTCCTTTTTATTTTTAAATAATCATCTTGGAAAACATGTATTTTAATGATCAGAGGTGAAAAAGAAACAAGTTTCCCAACTGACCCATCCTATGATTCAATATATCCTTACTCTAGAAGATCAGGTCTCTACTAGTACAGACCAAGAGGTCTTACAGCTCATGAGCTGGGTTACCACAAAGGAACATTAGAAGGGGTGATACTTCCATAGGTCTCTTTGTTTTGTTTAGCTAATAAACCTACAAGGATTGGGGGGTAATGATGGCCATCACAATCAACAATGCATGTGCTAATGTAAACACATGCCCACTTCCCTGATTATAACCAATCGCCTTTTATGTAACCACATCTTAAGACATGGGAAAGAAAGAGGATGTTATAAATTCTCCGGCTGTGCTCCAGGTCTGCAGATTCAGACACTCTGGGGGTGCAGGGCCCCTAGGCAATAAACCACTGTACCAGGCCACTTAACAACGCCTCCTCACCAACCTGACATCATCATTTCCCACTTTGTATTGAGACAGATCTCTTGAATCTAAAAGCCATTGTTGCTATCTGATAGGTGGGGGGAATTCCATAGCAAAGTTCCCCAGGAAGGTAACAGAAATAATACTTTTTAGCTTTGCTTATAAAGACTCAGGAACAAACCTGTAGGAACTGCTTTCCTGTCTGTAGTCTACAAGAATATCTGCAGACTACAGAAAGCAAAAAAAAAAAAAGAGCCTCAGAAAATCACCCACAGAAAATCATCGGGAAACATTCAGGCAGAATAAAGAGTTGCATTTCATCCTGGCATGCCCTTTTAGAAGGTCATGGGCAGGTCACTCAATAGCCAAGGCTCCCACAAGTTATGAGCATTTCTGACGAGAATCTTAAAAGTGCATGATGAATTTTTTCTGCCAGTTTTTGTAGGATACAGACTTGCCTCAGATGCCATTCCTGGAGCCCAACTGTTACACAAACCAGTTGGATGGAGGCAGAGTGCCAAAAGGAACACTTCCTTCTGCCAAAGATTACTCAGTGCCTGGAGGGCCTAGGGATTCATATCAGCCTCAATTAGGTGGGAGCACACCTTATCATAGCTGCCTATGACATGAAGGAGACACATTCCCTGGGGAGTGGTAGGGGTGAAGAACGGAAGCTTGCGAGTCAGATCACTGGCAAGATGCACTGTCTCTGGGTGTGGGGAGATGAGCCCACCACAGCTGGGTAATTAGTTGACTTAGATTAATGAGAATAAATGAGAGTTAACAGAATCTACAGACTGCAGGATCCATCCATATTGATAGAAGAAACATAAAGCTTTACTTGTTTTTATCTTAATTCATTGCCTCTTAACAGTCTCTAAAACCCTGTCATTAAGAACATATTCAATCTATGAGCAGCTTTAGCATTAGAAATATTAAACCTCAGGTCCTGCCCCACCCCCACTGAGTCAGAATCCGGATTGTAACAAAATCTGAGTAATTTGTTTTTTAGGATCAGCCTATCTGTGTGTTCCTTTGAACTCAACAGTATAAAAATTTCAAATAATCGGTTATAGAGCTATGGCACCCTTGAGGAAATTATGTTTATTTTGTCTAAAAGGGGAGCTGAGAGGTTTTCTTGAAAAGCTATTATTAAGAAGACTAGAGGCCCAGTGCATGAAATTAGTGCACAGGAGGGGGGGGGGGAAGGGAGGAGGTCCCCTCAGCCCAGCCTGCACCCTCTCCAATCCGGGATCCCTCGGACATCCCTCTCACAATCCTGGACCGCTGGCTCCTAATAGCTCACCTGCCTGCCTGCCTGGTCACCCCTAACTGAACCCCCTGCCAGCCTGATCACCCCTCACTGCCCCCTGCTGCCGGCC